GAGTCAATGGTGTAAATTATTTCATTTATCTGGAGTAATATGCATAGGTACTGGGTTGATTTATTTATTTTTCGGAACATCAGATATACAAATATGGAATACATACGATGATTCAGTTTCAAATGAAAAAGAATTGAAATTAATCGTTAAGAAACCTAATAGTTCTTGCGTTTCGGATACTTAGGTTTTTTTGTATTATGTAATAGTTGAGAAGAATTAGTTGATTTATTTTTACATTGTTCATGTATTAGTATTATTTTTAGTGATATAAATAATAATATATGACATTTTTACTTGAGGATAAACATGAAACATAAAAATAATTTTATATTATTATTTAATTTCTTACATATTATCATGTCGTTGTGTTCTTAATTGTTAATTTTATAAATACCATAATTATTTTATGTAAATGTATCTATTACTAGTGTTACCAGTATTTTTATCTACAACAACTATAAATATTTGCAGCATATTAATTAAAAAATAGTGTTGAAGACAAATCAAAATAAAGCTTACCTAAATTATTGTACAACCAGAAAAAAAATGATTTATCTAATTAAATCGTTGCTAATAAGAAATTGTTTTTTTTCATTCTAATTTGCACACAAGTTTTAATTGTTTGTGAACAATAACTAAAGTAAATGCGAAATTAAAGGTCAAAGGTTGGATTATCACCAATAATTTGTCTGTAAAAGTAATTCATATTTCTATAATTTATATGAATTGAAAAATGTATTATTTTTGTGGTTAAGTTATTTGAGAATTGAAACATGAATAAATTAAATATTGTTTCAATTTAATTTTTAATATTTACTGAATTGATTTTATGTTGGTGAAATCTATAAACATAACTATCTGGATTTTTTTTTTTTTTTGAAAACGTATTCTTTTTTTCTATAACATTTTATACAAATTATTCATGCTCAATACTAATTAATACATTTATTTGTATTGGGGCGAGTTTGGGAGAAATTTGGGACTTAGTTAAATAAGGGGATTTGCGCCAATAGTAGAATTATAGATATTTGTAAGCATTAATTGCCAATTTTATTGTAAAATTAATTAAATCATTCAAAAATTATTTAAACAATTTCCATAAAATCCTTCGAGGTGCTAATCGATAGTATAATTTATGTTACACTTACAATAATGTGTACTTTTCAATAGATTTTCGCGTTGTATAAAATGTATTAAAATAAAAGCCAATTTTTTCATGTGTTATCCAAAATGTACGTATTGTTATAACCTAAATATAGCGTCGTGAATAGTTATCACTTTATCAGAATATATATGATTTATGTGTATTATGATATATATTTTTACAACATAATAAAAAACTGAGCAGAATATAACTATAAAATTATCACGTTATCATTTATTTATTTAAAAATTAGACACGATTTCTGATTGCATAAAAATTATTAATTAATTAATAATTTTTGTATTAACTACCAGATTGATATTTTTTTCAATATATTAAAACGTTGTTATCTATGTGTTCTGATTATAGATGGGGCCGTAAGGGGGTGACCATTATTGAAGATTACGTAACATGTGTTAATCTAATATTTACATAGTTACTATTTACTATACAAAAATATATTTTATTTAGTAAATCAATTATTTTTTTATCAAATCTTGAAATAATATCAATCATAAAGCATACTTATCTGTTGTTAGTACATATTTTACGTTGTTAGTTTATTGAAGAGCTTATAAAATGTTTCAAGTATATCATAATATTATAGTGTATAGTGTAGATACCCACTAATACATTTTTAATGTACCTATGCTTATTTACCATCGTGTTAATATCATGTATCATAATATTATTAGTTTGGTAAGGATTTTCCTATGCCTACTTGACCATTTTTTTATTTTTTTTTTTTTTTTTGATAATTTTGTACTAGTGTCCAATTAATTACCAAAATTAATGTTGTTGAAAGCTAGTGCGTGTTGTAAATTTTCATACTTATTTAACAATATTTGTAGTTTTTCTTCCTGATAAAAAATAAAAATTAACTTTAGGTATAGGTATAAAGATAACAAACTTATCTGATATATTATTCATTTCAGTCAATATCTATAAATATTTTTTTCATAACAGCTTTAAAGTTTAAAAATAGTATTTTTTTAAATTTATGTGATGATTTCTGATGATGCTAGTTTTTGAGATATATGTGTTTAGTGAAATTTTACAATTTTTATATAGTAGCACATTGATTTTTGGGAATTATAATAAATGGAACCTTGTCCTTTGGTAAAGATATTTTATTTTTCTTATAGTCTTATCATATTACTAAAATTACTCAAAATTTTATCAGCTAAAGGAAAGTACAAAAAAAAAAAAAAAAAAATCATTCATATTTTATTAAAATGTAGGTAGGTACTTGTACTTTGTTGATAATTTAAACAAGTATAATCTATCATTATGTTTATCGTTAGAAATAAGAAATATTTTTTATATTAATAATTATTTTTATGCTTATTTTCATGTTAGTTTTTTGTTCAAGACACTTCAAATATGATTCGTAATAAGTTTACTCTTTAAAAAATTGCAGGTAACTATCTAAAAATTGTAATGTTGTAACTTCTTGTCTAGTTACTTCATTTTATTTGAATTTAAATTAATATTTTATTAGTTACACAATTCACATATTCAGAATATGAAAATTGTATGATCCAGCTACTTTTTATAAAGTGGGTACTGATTGATATTTTAGTATAATAGTTGTTATTTTAATACTTTTAAATTAGTCATCTATACTCTATAAATTGTAAAAGTAAAATAATTTTTTATTGCTCACGAACATTTAGTTAAATAATCATTGAATTGCAGTAAAAATAAATAAGAAAAAAGGAGTATTCTTTTTATTAAATTTTAATATTAATAAAGCAAAATGTTTTATAATTTTATACTTAAATATTAAAAAGATATATGAAAATATCATGATATTTATGTTATTTAAAAAAAATTAAAATGTATAAAATGATACGCATTTTAATATTTAAAAGTAATCAAAATTTTTAAACTTTTACAGCTGTTCTATACTTTACAAAAATGTATTATTATATTTATCATCTAGAATTCTTTAAATTTATATTTGCATATTTGACAACCATTTATAATTTAACTTTAAAAATATTTACATAACCTAATAAATTGGCTATCTCAGATTTATTTCAAATATTGGTGCATTATTATTTTGGGTTTAGATATGTAGTTCGTATGCATATGTATTTTAATATTTTATTGTGGGCTATAAGTATATTCATTATTTTCAAAAATCTAATTCCAAAAGAATTAGTTAGAAAAAATACAATAGACATGCAGTGAGACATTTAGCAACTACCTATACATTTTAATATCTAAATTATGTGCAATTTCAGTAAATTATTTTATAAAATTATTTAAAATGAAATTATACGAAAGGGGATTTAGAATTTTTTCAATGGATGATAGAATTTTATTTACTTAATAAAATTAGTTGTAAAGGTCTTTAATATTATAATAATAAAATTATTAAATTATATAAATACAAATAATAACCGAGTTAAACAAAAGATAAATCCCGTGCATCAATATATTACTTTTAAGTGGAAATTAATAAATAATATTCTATTTTACATTCTAAATAGAGTGACGAGTGTATTAATTTCATAAGGCTATGCTTTTTTTCTTTCTTTTTTTTTTTTTTACAAATTTTTGTGTCTAAAAAAACTTTTCATAAAATAAAAAATGCTTCAATTTTCAACTTTAATAGTGGTTTAATAATGATCTTAGCTATTTTATAATAATTCAAAAAATATTAACCATGACACATATTTTTTATTATATAAATAATTATCTTTTTACGTAAAAATATTTCGAAATGTTAAGATTTATATTTAACTAATTTTAGATATTTGAAATTTGAAATTAATTTAGTTTTTTTTTTTTTATATATAAATAAATGATAACAATTTTTATGTTTGGTTAAACAAAGCATTTCAAAGTTTAAACAAAGCTTTTGCTCAAACAAACCTATAATAAATTAATAATAATTTTTTAATATATTTAAATTTAATTAAATTGTACATGCATATATTTTTGGTGTATACTATCAGTTTTTAAACACTTTACTTTTTAATATCACCTATAAGTTTTCAAAACTTTTATATACCACTTAAAAGAAAATCTGTATCTTCATTGATATGATATATAATTCATATGGGCTACTTGATTTCATTATGTATATAATTTTTATTTTTAACATAATTTTATAATTAGACAATCTGTTACAAAAACTAAATCAGTAAGCCTAATAAAGAGAAATAAATAATAATATGTAAGTAACAATAAAGTGAAGAAACTTTCTTGTGTAGATACTTCGTTATGAAAAATCATTTTTAAGATTGGACATATTTTTGTGTGCATGTTTATTAGTTAATGTCTAAATAAATAATGTATAATATGCATTCTAATGTATTTGTTTAAAGCCACGTACCACCAGTTGAGGACTATTGGGTTAAATAATATAACAAATATTATTATATAATATTCATTACTTCAATATAAATATTAAATTAATTAAAAATACAATTTTTTATGTATATATAATATGTTTAAAATGTCTGAACTATGCGAGTGTAAATAAAATTATAAAATCAACTTAATAATATTTTTATACTAACTCTTTAATCACATTATAAGTATATTAAACTTAGGGATATTTATTTCTTGTTATCATTGAAAAATAATAGATTGTCCTTTTATATTATATACAATAAACAATTTAGTATCGTAAATTCATAACTGTTATAGTTCGCATGATTTAATAAATATATAGTTGTTAAAATATTAAGAAACTATTGGATTTTCAAGGATTATACAATTAAAGATTGAGATTAAAAATATACTGTAGTCTTAACATTGTTTTGCTCTTCAAATTACATGTTTAATCCGGCAATAAAATAATATTGCATATTCTTTATTCATAATTGCAATATATCAATTAGCAGTTTAATTTAGTATTGCATAGTAGTGATTTATACACGTATATTTAGCAATCAAATATTTGTGAAGCTAAAACTCAACAGTTAAAATATGCAGAGTTGGTAAAATATTTTAAATAACTTTTGGTCTTTTGTTACATTTAAAAGTAGGGATTAAATTAATTTAATTTTTTAATAACATTCGAATTGTAATTATGAATTTCATCGTAACTAGCTTATAACTGTTTTGATTCATTAGTTTTTATTTATTTTACATATAATTTTACTTTTTGTCAAGCAAGATTGTTTTCAATAAATTTAACACGTAACTACTTATTGTGATTTCAGAAAGAACAATATTATGGTATATGACCTTTTGGGGATTTGGAATGAATTTCATGCTACGAATGAATCTCAATATAGCAATAGTGTCTATGGTTCGACCAACTGTGAAAGGCGGATTGAAAAGCGAATATTATGAAAATCGTAGTGCTTTGCAGAATACTTCATACCTAATGGACACTAATATTGATAACGTAAGTATCATTTTTATAAACGTGTATTAGGTATATCGTAATTTATGGCATGTTTTATGACAATGTTCAATTTTTAAGTTATACTACGAATTTAGAATTAAAAATATTAAGATATACCGAAAACTAAAATAATATTATTGTTTGTAATTCTAAGGTCAATTTATTATGAATATATTTATGTATTCATGTAATTATTATTTATGAATAGTTAAGTATTTAATAGTTTTGATATTGATTAAACTTTGATAATTTGTACATACCCTAATTGATATGAATTGAGCCAGGTTAAATCATCAACAATGAAATTGTTAATTTAAAAGTGATATTCCCCAACCAATATTTCATGTGTTTATAAAACTGTAAATTTTTTTTTTACAGATAGCTAGAATAGATAAATGGAATAAAATAACATTATATCAAAAGTTCATCGTAACAAAAAAATATCATTATGTACCTATAATTGTAAAATATTTACAATCATAAAATATGTTATGATATTTACAATTTATTTTACAACGCTGATTTTAATAAAATTACTGCAGCAACGGTAGTTGGTGCCTTATTTTTTTCACGACTCATACGATATTAAATAAAAAGTTATCTTGAATTACATATTTTAGTAATTACCCATACCAAATTATTTTTATAAGATAATTTTAACATCACTCTCATTAACGTTGACATAATAAATAGTTATATGTAAGCAAAAAATACAAAAGTGCCATAAAAAATAACTATTTGCTAGCATTATAATAAATGTTAGTAAAAACTATTGATAAATAACTGGAATAACATTTTTGTTTATATACTTGTGCGTAGTGGCTAAATACAATTAATAATAATAGGTAGGTATATGTGAAATTAAATATTCTACATTTCAGCATTCAATACAGCTCACATTTGATATGCAATATAAGGATAAGAGGATCATGAAAATTCTTAAAAATTCCAAACTATTTAAATGTACCTATATAATATTGATTTTAAACGAGATATTTTATTAAGAATATTGTATTTTAATTAATTTGTACTTTTTTTTAAATAAAATAATTAATTAAATTTTTTAACCTTTAGGACAAATATTTCGAATGGGATGAACACCAACAAAATATGGCTAAGGGATCATTTTTTTGGTTACATATGGTATTGCAAATTCCTGGTGGTTTATTAGCACAAAAATTTGGTGCTAAATCCATATTTGGTTACAGTAACGGTTTAGTTGCTCTACTTACTTGCGCGATACCTTTATCGGCCAAATTAAATTTCAAAGCTTTGATTTTAATACGAATTTTTCAAGGCCTTGTAGCTGGATTAGCGTGGCCATCAATGCAGGCGATGACGGGTAAATGGATACCACCTCACGAAAGAAGCCGTTTCGTGTCAGCATATTTAGGTATTTATAATTTTAGCTTATATTATTTATTGTTATACTTTTAGAATACAATTTTTAATTATTTAAAATATATTTTTGGATAATAATGTATAATATTAAAGCGAAGGTTGGCATATCTAGGTTTATCTGCATTTACGTTTATTTTTTATTTTTATTGTTATTTAATATTTTTAATAGTATTTTAGTATTTAAATACATAAAAAATATAAATATGTTTCTAATAATTAATAACAGTCCCAGACATTCAAACATTTTTTAAAAGAGCCTGCAAAGATGAAGAGTGATTACTTTAATGGATATTGATAAGCTATATTTGATGGTTATTGATAATTTTAGCATTTTCTAAAAGGTAGAAACACTCATGATATATAGGTATAACACTAAAATATTTGTATTCTATTATTTGAAACATTTTATTTTTTTTTTAATGATATATAGTTATCTCTTGACATTGAGTATAATGTTAAAATGTTGGACTTGCAGCTATCAATACATATAGTTTAAAATATAGGCGATTCAATATCTGCTTGTTAAAAAATAAAGTTAGTTAGATATTTATGGCTCTAATTTTGAAATTACTACATTCTTACAAATTATTTATGTATGTTATAATATTATTCAAGTTATTTTTCTATTACTTATATTATTTGAAAACAAAAATATTATTTATTACTTCATAATATTGTGGTATCTTGAGTTACATAAAACCCAGAGAAAATATTTGAAAAACAAAATAACTAGAAACATAATTTAACTTAATAGGTATTTAATTAAATTATTTTTTTGAATACCAAATGGTATACATTATAAATATACTATTAATGATCTAAGCTCTACTTTTGTTGATTGTTTATTGCGCTTAATAATGAGAGAAATTAATTATACGGAATACATATATTAACAGATTAGTAATTAATCTACAATGTATGCATATTTTATTGATGTTCTGACTTCTGAGTATAGAAAAATTATCCTTTGCAAGACTACTATAATAATTATGGCAAATTGTCATATGAATATTTGTATAAACATATTGTTGGATAAGTTTTCAATAATAGATTTTAATTATCTATATTTAAGTGATATAACAAATAATCGAGAGAAACGTCCTAGGTTAGATCTTACATATAAAATAAGCATATATACGTGCCTATAATACCTATGCCTGTATTAGCTCACTTTTTAGATTTAATATTGAATAAATAGATGTTTATCAGTATATAATATATACATATATACTCACGTACCCAAAGGCGTTACTGGAAAATAATCTAAGGAGGGAATGATACCTTTACCTCTCATCCTCATAAAATTTTTTGGGGGAAAATTTCCCCCTTAATCACCACAATTATGCCACTGTACGTACCTATTTCGCTATAAATCGTATACTTATGTACTTACGACCTAATTACATTGTGTGACTCAAGCATTAAAATACCTCAGTAAAACCATATCATACAATAAATTATAATATTATTTATTTATTAATTATTATCTATATGTAATATTATTTAAACTTAAATAATTCAAACTGAAAATATTAATTACATATATTTTATAAAAAAACAGATTTTTAAAAGTTTTATGTTTATCGCGTTTGTTGTGAAGGTACATCTGTTGGGACGGCTGTAACTTATATAGTATGTGGTTATTTAATGGATTGGTTGGGTTGGGAGAGTGTATTTTACATTACGGGATCAATTGGTTTGCTATGGAATTTATGTTGGACTTTTCTTATATATGATTCACCAAGAACGCATCCAACTATAACTGAGAAAGAACTAAAATACATAGAAAATAGTCTAGGCAACTCTATCGTCAAAAATGTACCCGTAAGTGTAGAATATTATTACTATACTTTATACTTTACTTGCATTGAGTTAAGTATTTATATTTTTATCATTTATTAAATTATTTTATAGTCTTCAACTCCTTGGAAATCGATTTTGACGTCTTTGCCTTTAATAGTGAACATTATATCACAAATAGGTTATAATTGGGGAATGTACACAATATCTCTCCAAGCACCAACATATTTTAAATTTGTGTTGGGTTTCAATTTGAGACAGGTAAGTTTGTTTATTCATAACTTGAAATTACAGATTTAATACATTTTTTTCACTACTAGACAGGTATTTGGTCTGGTGTACCACATTTGTTTCTATGGCCATTTGCATTTAGTTTTGGTTGTTTATGTGATCATTTAATTCAAGCTAATATTATGTCCATAACGAACGTTCGCAAATTTGCTTGCGTTTTCAGCAATATAGTCCATGGTCTGTTTATATTGACGTTTGCATATTCTGGATGTAACGAAATCTTTGTCATAATTAATTTGGTGTGTGCCGTGGTCGTAAGTGGTGCAATTTCTTCGGGAGCATTACCAGGAATTGTGGATCTAGCTCCAAATTTTGCTGGAGTTTTGCAAGGCATAAATGGAACAATTGTGATATTTTGCATTAGTATTTCACCATATATTGTAGGATTGATCACATTTCAACAGGTATTACATTATTATGTTTTTTTATTATTAATTTGTCAATTTTTGAAAATGTTTATAGATTTAACTCATTTTAAACAATTTGACTGGGTTAATAAGTATAAAGCAGATAAGAAATCTTATATTGGAAATTTACTGTTGATGAAACTGTTTTAGATAGCATGAGAATCCGGAAAATTATCTTCATGTTCGTGTTTTAATTTCTTAAATATATATTTCCATAGGTTAAAACACTCACATTATTTTAATAATACATTACCTAACTTCGAGTTAAAGATACTATAAGAACAGTGGTACATAATTTTTCAATATTATTATAATTTACGTTTAAAATATACATTATAATATAAAAGATTAAAATATTGAATTGTGCAAAATATAGATAATTTCAATTTTATTATTTATTTCCATCGTGTTGATTATAATATTTTATTTATAAAATCGTATTTTATTAATTTACTTAGTAAAATGTATATTACTAAATAAGTAATATTAATGTTTGACTAATTTTAGCTTATTTTTTTTTTTAGCAAACCATAGAACAATGGAAAAAAGTATTCATTGTATCGGCGGCATTTTGTTCATTAACAGGAATTGCATTTTTAATTTTTGGAAGTTCTAAATTACAAAAATGGAATAACGAGGAACAAAAGGATGTAAAGGAGATTCAACCTATAGTATGACTGTGAGAAATTAAAAAACTAAAACGCACTTCTTAAAGAAATATATATTGTTAGATATACTACAGAGACATTTCAATTCTAATCACCTAAATTAATGTAATTTTTAAAACGATCAATTATATTTCTATAATATTTTTAAAGTATATGCAAAAATTATTTGTATTATTATTATATAGGTAGGTATTTTTTGCTTATATTTTATTTGATATTATTAAGTAGTATAGTGCCTGTTTGAGGAACAATTTTTAAATTTCAGTACCTACCTAAATTTAATATATTTCTAATTAACTATGTTATCTTAAAGTGTCAAATAATTATCATAATAATTTTCTCTAAGGGTATTGTTATTAAATAATTGTTGTGTGCAGTTGTAAAATTTGTAAATATAAATGAATGAAATTTTTTTACATTATGTTGTTTTTATTACTATATATTTTTATAGAAAATGTAAACTAGTTGTATTACACATATTTTTCTACTGAACTGCTATTTATTTTCTCTATATATTGTTAGTTATTACTTATTAGTAGGTCTAAAAAATATTCTTAAAATGTATACGAGTAATTATTATTATAATAAATAAAATTAAATATTAAATATGTCCCTGTGTCCTACGCCCTTACATATACTTATAACACATATATTGCACCATGATATTTAAAGCATTCATCATATTCCCGTTCACATTCCTACAGATTAAAAGAACACGGTAGTCTCTGGTCTATTTATAATATAAGATTATAAAAATGTTTAAATATATTGATAACATATTAAATGTAAATTTTGTTCGATTTATTAATGTAAATTAAAGTAGTGGTGATATCCAAATATTGAAATATGAGGAGGTAAAACATACAGATAGATTTATTGGGGGAAGGGGATTATGGGGTTTAACCTCTTAGAGTCCTTTTCATAATTATCAGTGTTGAAAATTTATTACATTAATACGTCAAAGAAAATGTGCACATTTTAAAAGTTTTAAATTTTAGTATATAGAAAGAGAGGATAGCTTAAACCTTGAATCTTTAATTTTTTAAATCCAACCAGAAAAATTTAAAAAAGCTAGATTTCCTAGTATATTAATTATAGGTGTATGCAATTAATTATACTCTATATCCTTTAAAGGTCATAGACGTGCATAGGAATTTGTCTTATTATGGTTAGCTAAAACTAGTGAAAAGTACACAAGATAAAAATTATAAACTCTTATTATATTATGCAATTATATAATATGTGATTGATTCGATATTAATAGTATATAAAAATAGAGTATGAGCATCTAATGAGTAATGTACATTTTTAATATGGACATTTTTTCTATTGTATTATTGTAACTGAGATGGGGAATACGTTAGGTGTTATGTATCTTTTTATATGTGCTTAAATTAGGTATGACAAGTATGTACGGATAAGACTATCAGTATAAAGTCAACCCAATTTTATCATATAGGCTTGTTGCATTAATAAATAATTTTATAATTTTTCTTATGATCAATCATCAAAATAACATTCATATCTTAATTTTGTTTTAAATTCAATATTTTCAGAATTATTCATATCTAAGTACTTAAACCTTTTAAATAAATATTCATTAACCCACTTAATCTAAAATAAATTATCAGGTTCAATGAAAGCATTCGCTGCTTCCATGTGCATGCTTATGAATAAAATTTATGATTTAGATTGATTATTGTACATGTCAATTGAGTAGTTGGTATAGATGTATAGTTTTATTGGTGTTTATTGAAATACATTGAAGCAACTTTCAGAATTGATGAGAGTGCGTGGTAAGGAAAATTTTTATTTATGATGCTTATGCGATTAAACAAACCGAAAATTTTACACTGTACACAGGGAGGCCGTATAAACATTATACTTACATAGGTTTAAACCTACTTTGAAAACTGATTTGTGCACCAGTTACGACTGGTAACATCATTATTGTATTTGAACAATGACATGCCATCAAACATGGTGTACATTTATATTTATTGAAAATCTAATGGATATTATGGATACTAGGGCTTAATTTTTTTTTAATTTTTTCTTAATAGAAAAAAATTTAGTAAAAAGTGTATGAACTTTTTTACTACTAATGAAATAAATTTAAACAATTTGATTAAATAACGAAAACGTTTAAAAATAATTATCTTGTGTCTTTTATTTTAAGTTTGAAGAAAAAGAAGCGCTTTTCGTACTTAAAAATAGCATGGGCTTAATATTTTACATTTTTTAAAAATTATTTGTGCACCACTACACTTGTGGCTTATTTTAGTCTTTGATACTCATCTGTATTATGATTATCTGACTATATGCACGATAAATAAGGGGATGGCACTGTTTTCAGCCAGTTCACTTTTCAACCATTTTGATTTGTTTGTTTTCGGCCAGTACACTATTTTGGTTTGCTAATGAAATATTCTTTACATTTTTTCTGTTTAACTACCAATTTATTAACAATTATATAATATTATTCATTTACAATTTATACCTTGAATTAGTTAAAAAATTCAAAAATAAAAGTTGTATTATATTATAAATTTACACAATAAATATGAAATTACAGGGATATTTAATATTTTTTTATAACTACAGCACATAATTTTAATAAATTCCATTCGTATTATTTTTCCTCTCTCATATTTTATTATGTTTGTATGGTTTTTATCCTGATGACTCCGAACTTTTCCATCTTTTGGAAATTTTGGAATATCCGCACTTCGTATTTTTAGGTACATATAATTCTGTTTAAATTGCATTTATTATATTCAACCAATTTATAATTGCAGGGGAGTGTTTGTGAAAACATTGGTTAAAATATGAACAATAAGATTCGTATACATTTGTGGTTTTAGTTAAGTCAGAAGAGCCTGGTGCTAAATAGAGGAGAAAATAAAATGCTTTCTTCACTAATGTAAATATCATGTTAAATAATCACAGTATTGTAACGATTGAATTAATTCATTATAATCAGGAAATATTCATATTGAATCTCCAATAAAACAATTTTCTACATTTCTTGGATTTAAAAATATCAATCCTGTAAATCAGGGGTCGGCAACCTGCGGCCCGCAAAGCAATTTTTAATGGCCCGCACAAAGGTGGTTAATTTTTGTGTTTTACTTTTGTTCAATAACATTTTTCATATAATTTTCAATATTATATAATTCTTTTTCCTTTATAAATAAAATCTAAACTAACCATTTCATAATAGCAATACAATTATAAGTATTATATCATAATATGTAATTTTTTTTTTAATGTGGCCCTTGATGAACAATTGAAAAAAAAATGGCCCGCGTGGTTAAAAAGGTTACCGACCCCTGCTGTAAATGTATATTTTATCCAATTTCCTATATCTGAAAAATCGTTTTTATATTCACTAACCAATCCTAAACTTTAGACTTGGCGAAACCAAGATTGAGTTAGATGAAATCTACACCCAATAATTTTTGAGTTTAGCCATATTTCTATGATAGCTTAATGTATTAATATTTCAAAAATCAACCATCACAAGTATTAGAGAACATAATAAATTACATTTATTAACAATACAGCGAAGCGTAAATGTGTATGTTTCAATTGACTTGACTGGCAGTAAACAAAAAATAAGAGGAATATAATGGTTATTGTTCAATTCATGGATAGTGGACATTTGTAAGAAAAACCGTGGACAACATTTAAAAGTTCCACCTATATAAATGGTATCAATTTAATTTATGAATGTTAAATTTGTTTGACAATAAATTATGGTTATATGTTTTTCCGAATCGTTTAATACTAAAAATGACTCACCACTCATAATTTTTATGTTAGCTTCGTGCACTTTTTGAATAGTAGTGGGATATTTGGAATTATAATTATTGTTTATTTGCCTATCTATAGACGCCACAATAAATCTCAGTAAATCCTCCAAGTAACTTAAAGTGCAAAGTGCGTGATGATTTTCTTAATGAAAAAAAAAAATGTTATAACACTAATTTTAATTAATAATTACTTATTTAAAAGAAGTAGTAACACCAATTGTCTTCTTCCATTTAAAAGATCTATATACCTATCTTTAACACATAGGTATGCGTAGGTATTGTTCTCACCCGAACAAATTAGTGGCAAGGCGCAAGTCTTTAGGTTGTGGAGACGTTGAATAAAAAAATAATATTATATTTCCTCCTTTATTTTACTAATATGTATTATAAAAATATATGTTCAAAATTAGAAACAGAATGATATATATTTAAAAACGTTTTAACTTTTTTAAATTAACTGTACAAAAAAACTTTTAAAAAACAGATTGAAATGTGGTACTTATTTATTTATATACAAACTGTATTAATAAGTGTACATGTCACAAAATAATTAAAAAATAAATAAATACATTTATGTCAATTGATACGTTAAATTGATTTTTCTATTTTTTGTCTATGAAATGAGTCAATACATTTTGGGTCGATGGCTAATTCGTTTAACATTTTTTTTTTCAATCACTAAGTAGCCAAATCTGAGAATCGATTTTCCATCAGCTATTGTTAATTTTAGTAAGGACTAAGGGATACAGTCTTTTATTTTTAATTTCATAATTCTCTCGTATGAGTAGTTTACTATTCCATCATTCAAAATTTCATTAATTAAATCGTCGGACATAATAATAAATATATCGTAAAATAATTACCAACTGGTAACTACTTTAATAAGATTACGGCGGACGATAAAATGACAACGTGACAGGCAATGACAACGAGTGTATTAATGTAATGAAATAGATTATATGAAATAATAATATTAAATGACGGCGAGACATGTCTCATAGCGCAACGAAAATTCCCACTCAATATTCAATAACCTATTCTCCCTGCACACCTTGCCCAGAAAACCGATATGTCGCAACGCGGTGTCTCATTGTTATGTTCATACTGTATTTAAATGTTCATAAAATTATCCACTGTCCACATTGTCCACAATAGACGACAGTCTGTATACTAGTCACATGCACGGCCTGCAACTTATCTTTTTTAAGAATACTCTAACGATAAGGTACAAAAAAAGAGTTATGACAAATATTAAAGGATATAGGTATTAAACGAAATATAATAATGAGTTATGATTTTGAATTTACAGAGTAAATGTTTTAGTTTATTATTTAATTAATTATAATAAAATCAAATTA